CCCGGTAACTGCTGAATATTTCCGCATTTGCCCCTGGCATCGTACCCGCTGTGGCGTTGTAGCAGCCGGTAACGGCTGGTACCAGCGATAATCGTGAACCACCCCTCGCTTATACCAGCGGTAACGGTCGCCAAGAGTTGCGTGCTATAGCGAGGACACGGCTGTACGCGCGCGTAAATCTCGGAAGGCGTTTTCCGGGGGTTGAAGTCGCGGGGGCATCGTTTAAAATGGGAGTCCAAGGGAGGCGAAACGCGCGCGAGGATACCTGAAAACCTTCCAGCGGACGTCGGGGACCGAAGGAGGTGGTGCGCACAGTGGGAAGGAGGAAATGATGAAAAAAGGCGCCGCTAGACGAGAAGCGGGGTACACTTATTTTCATTCCCGCCACCTCAGTCGGAAGAGAGTCCTGCGGGAGAACTGCGCGCGGCCTCATTTGTTACCCTTAATGTCCTGCAGCCTCCTCCTGTCCTCCTGTCCCGCTGCCTCCGGGATCTTATGAGGGAGAGGGCGCCCGGGAGTTACTGTCACTGTATGTGTGTACGTGTAATGTGTGCGTGTGCACGTGCGGCTGTACGTGCGATATGGCCTTAGCGCGCGCGGTAGCCCTCTCCAGGAATATATTTCAGGAATTATGGGAAATTCTATCGAGCAATGTACCGTGATGATTTATCGCTGCCGGCATCCGCGAAAGTAATAATGGAGAACGTATCGCCCTCTCCTTTGGCGAACGGCTTGGTACGCCGTTCCCGCCGTAATCTCGTCGCTCCAATTTCGAGATCTTCTATTTTTCAACTTTTTTTTTTGCTTCACTGCCCCTGGTGACAGTATGAAAATAATGTCAGGAAGAAAACGATTATAATTTTACATTTGTCTCTTTAGAGACTTTTCCGACACTCTTTGAAACGGAATGTATCGTAATCTAATTGATCAAATGATATAATATGTGAATATTACCGAAATAATGTATAAAGAGTAATTAAATTTTTTTACTTAGTCATTCGTATAATTTTCATCGCTGCTCATTGTTAATCAAATAAGTAATAAGACTGAAATTTTAATACACATTATACTGACAAGTCAGAGAGAGAGAGAGAGGAGAAGAGAGAAGAGAGGAGGGAGGGGAGGA